AGCCCGACTGCCGAACACCACCTGCAGCTCCTGGACCACGTACTTCAGCGCCTCAACACCTACGGCGTCGTCGTCAACAGGCACAAGTGCGTCCTGGGTCAGCAGCAGGTGGTGTTCCTCGGCCACTCGGTGGACGCCGACGGCGTCCGCCCGCTGCCTGGACGAGTCGAAGCCATCAGGAACTTCCCAGAGCCGACCACGCAGTCCCAGCTGCGGAGGTTCCTGGGGATGGTTGCGTACTATCACCGCTTCGTCCACCGGGCCGCCGAACTCTTGCAGCCCCTGCACGCCCTGCTCACTAACAAGGGCAAGAACTCCAAAGCGCCCGTCGCGTGGACGAACGCGACACGCCAGCGCTTCCGACACATCAAGGACGCCCTGGCCGCGGCGACGCACCTCGCGCACCAGGTCCCGGACGCGCCGCTCGCCCTCTTCGTCGACGCCTCAGACTGCGGAGTGGGCGCCGTCCTCCAACAGCACGTAGCTGGCGAGTGGCAGCCGCTAAGCTTCTTCTCTAAGACGCTTCAACCTGCAGAGAAGAAGTACAGTACGTTCGGGCGCGAGCTGCTCGCCATCTACCTGGCCGTCCGACATTTCAAGCATTCTATCGAAGGCCGGTCGGCAATTGTCTTTACGGACCACCGCCCGCTGGTAACGGCCGTCGGCTCCTCTTCCGACCGCTACTCACCACGAGAGGTCCGCCACCTGGACTACATCGGCCAGTTCGTGTCGGACATCCGCCATGTGCCTGGCAAAGACAACGTGGTCGCCGACACGCTGTCGCGCACGGTCTCGATGGTGGCCCAGCCGCGCCCCCCGCTCGCCGACTTCACTGCCATCGCCAAGGCCCAGTCCGAAGACGGCTCGCTGGAAGAACTCGAGGCCTCAGACACCTCACTGCGCCTGCGCCACATCCCGGTCGGCGATGGACTCCGTCTGCTCTGCGACGAGTCCACCGGATCGCCTCGGCCGGTCCTCCCAGAGGCGCTGCGCCGGCCCTTCGCCAAGGCTCTGCACGACCTGTCGCACCCTGGCGTCGAGGCCACCGTCAAGATCGTCTCCAAGCGGTTCGTCTGGCCCGGTATGGATCGTGACGTGCGCCGCTGGACCCGAACCTGCCTCGCCTGCCAGCGCTGCAAGATCGGCCGGCACACCAAGTCCGACGTCGGCACCTTCCAGCCGCCTCAGCAACGCTTCGACCACGTCCATGTAGACCTCGTCGGTCCGATGCCTCCATCAAGAGGCCACTCGTACCTTCTGACGTGCGTCGACCGGTTCACTCGGTGGCCAGAAGCCATCCCGCTGCCAGACATTCGCACCACCACGGTGGCTCGAGCCTTCCTCGAGCACTGGATCGCCAGGTTCGGTGTTCCATCCATCATCACCACCGACCGCGGCGCTCAGTTCGAGTCTGCCCTCTGGTCGGAGCTTCAGCGGTTCCTCGGCTGCCAGCGGACTCGGACAACCAGCTACCACCCGGCCTGCAACGGCATGGTCGAGCGGTTCCACCGTCAGCTGAAGGCCAGTCTCCGTGCCCACCAAGCAGCCTCGTGGACAGACGTGCTGCCGCTGGTCATGCTGGGCATCCGCGCCACCATCAAGACCGACCTGCAGGCGTCCCCAGCTGAACTGGTATACGGCTCTCCACTGCGACTCCCAGCCGAGTTCTTCGACAGCAGCCGCACAGCAGACGCATCACCAGCCTCCTTCGTCAAGGACCTGCGACGCGCCATGGCTCAGCTTCGACCCACTCTGCCACGGACAACCAAGCGCGCCACGTACGTCCCGGAGGCGCTGAAGACGGCAAAGTACGTTTTCGTTCGGCGGGACGACCACCGTTACCCTCTGGACGCACCGTACGACGGCCCGTTCCCAGTCATCAACAGGACAGACAAGACCATCACCATCCAACGGCGACAGCGACGCGATGTCATCACCATCGACCGTTGCAAGCCCGCCTTCATGGACGAGGTGCCGGATCAACCTCAGGAGCAGCCACAGCGCGCACCTGACGTGCAGTCATCGGCCGCCCAGACAGGCGGCCCGGAGCTCCTACTCTATGACGACACTCCGGCGGCCGCACGTCCTGCACCGCCAGCAGCGCCAACACCACGCCCGGCGCCAACGGAAGCACCGACAACACTGCGACCAGCAGCGCCATCGCGGCCAGCATCGACCACGGACATCACCACGCCAGCACAGCCCAGATCAATTCTCCGCACTCGCTCCGGACGCGAGTCACGACCACCGGATCGATTTCGACACGTCACCTTCATCGGCGACGCGTCTAGGGAGGGGGCAGTGTAGTGACGAGCTGTGCCCGATCGCGTAGTGTACATATGTTATGTTTGTTTGTTTGTTTATGTTTGTTGTCATATGTTTGTATCGTGTATATATTCTCTGTACCTAATGTGTCCGCCACTGCGCGTGTGGACCTACAGGAACTGTGCGCCGTTCTACATGATAGCGCATGCGCACTATTCGTTACCACTTGGTACTGTTAGTACAATGGTCGCCCAATTGTGTGCAAATACATTCGACTTCTAACCGGAGCAGGACTTTGAAGAAGAGAGGCGAAGGAAGACGGAGGAGGCTGAAGGCTGGCGACGGAGAGACACACGCACAACCGACCTTCAAGGTCGCACCGAGCTACGGTCGAGCGAGGTGGGCAACACGCCCTTAAAGACGCCTCTGATTGTAGCCACGCCGGTACCCCTGGTCGGACCCGGTATACTGACACGGACCTTGCCACTGGCTCTGGCTCAGGCTGTCTTAGCGGACACGCCTGCCCGTCCAGACGCTCTCCTAAGAGCGAGTGCTCGGCTACCGCCAGTCTGCCGGGCCCAACAGCGTTCTGCTGACACCCGCCGATACCGCTCGCCGCACCGCAAGTGCCGCAGCGATTCGGGCGCTCCAGGCGAGCGTAACGGGAGTCACACCAGTCCGCGCCGCCAGGCTCTGCCCGCTGTTGTATTCACGGACGGCCCTTCTTTAGATTGCTGACACAGATTCCGTAGATTGCACAGATCAGCAGGCCGTCCGTAGAATTACACTGTGAGCTTCGTAGCTACTAGCTGCAATAGGTCGGCCGGAAATGACGTCAGAGTGACTTCATATTCGGCCGATTTCGACGCAAAACATTGAACGGTGAACCACGTCAATCGTTCCCAAGAGCTCAGTTTTTAACCTAGATCCGATTTCTTTGCATGAGAGGATTTAAAATGGACTGCGCTATCAAACTGCTCTCTCGGATTTTCAAAACTTTGAAAATTATGAAAAGTATATATATATATATATATATATATATATATATATATATATATATATATATATATATATATATATGGAAATATCAAAGTTCAAAATTAATATTTTTACCTTTTATTTAATAGGTTTTTGACTTTTCGATAAAATGGTATATAAATATGTGATAGATAACATACCTATGACTTACTCTAGCAAGTTTTAGCCAGATATCTTCAAAAATGGCCAAGTTCTACGCATTATAGCAAAAAGTTCACGATTATAAATTTTTGCAAATCAATTTTCAGTACGTATTTGACATCGCGCGACGCACACTAATATAAATAGTACCATCGTGTTTCTGAGCTCAAACTGCATTCGATAGACACTTTTTATTGAAAAATTTCGCTTTAAAATTTGACCTTTTTTTACCTGAAAGTGGCCTGACCCAAGCTTTATTCAAGTCAAAATGACCTCGAATGACATAAACGACATCGAATTCGAAATCTATGATCTAAATTGACCATAAAACATGTGTCACGTGACCGATGCATGACATAAGATTTCCGTGACCTGTGATGACCTGACCCTGACCTGAAAATCAAAGTACAAGTTTGGTACTCTTAGGGTATCTAGAGCATCTGTTCACGAGTGTATAAACTACAAATGAGCCCGATCTGACTTGTAAGACGGCGGCCAGAACCCAAAACGTGAACAAGCCAATTATCGATAACTTTTAATTTGACCTGACCTGTGACGTCATCGGTGAACTCGAGGTCAATGGAATTAGGTTTCGATCGACAGTTTTGTCCGGGGCTATTAGACGCCGTTTTCAATTTTGACGATCGGCCCAGTAGTTTCGGAGTTAGGAGGGGGGCTATGAATAGCCCCCCCCCCCTCTCCAGTAGGGCGCGTTATACGCAGACCCTGCAGTGGGGCGCGGATTAAAGCTTTGCCAATATCTCTCATATGTGAACGCCTTTGGAAATAAAACGCAGTTGAAATAAAAAACAATTTAATAGGGATCAAATTGGCATAGAAAGAATCTTTCAAATTTTAAAACAAGCGTCGGCATTGTAAGAAGCGTTAGGGTGGCCGCTTTGCCCCACTTTCCTTACGGGGATATCCTAGGACTCGGATGTCAACTGATGAGTTGGGGATGAAATAAATGATGAAGTTGGAAAGCGGCGACTCACAGTTAGGATGCCACAACTAATGTATGTGGTACACTTGTATTGTAAGCAAAACGGCCCACGTTTTTTTTCAATTCTTTGCTGGCTGTCATTTGCGTGAACGAAACATTGCTGTTGACCCCTTTTGAGTCGATTGCCTCACGTCATCATCATCATCATCATCATCATATATTGTTAACAAAACAAGCATCAAACAAGATATGCAGGGCGGTGCAAAAGCACTCCGTGCTTATGTCGAGGCACCGCTCCCGTCACACATACATGAATACTTCAAGAATCACATACACCAAACAACCCTCTCACAAACGCACGCCCACTCCCCACCCCCGCCGACCCAATGTATTTACAGCGCGGCAGCGTTTTCTCAAACGCGCGATGGGTGTGCTCTATGCAATAAGCACTTGTGCAAATATTTATTATACTTCGAAACGCTTTGAAAGTTTAATGTACTTGTGCACGATCGCAATCACAGCCGGACCAGCAGCTATTGTTAAGTCTGATCCATAAAGGATCATATTCATTTTTTCACTCTGGTGTCTGGTTTCGTCGTCTGGCGTGTTACAGGCGGTCAACTTTGGCTTCGCCTACTACTCGGCCGACCTGGGCCGGATGCCGATGCTGAACCAGGACAGCCTGGACGAGGCCATGGACACGCTGATGACCAATGTCATCGAGCAGCTGAACGACTTCGCGGGTGAGATGATCGGCCAAACTGAACAATAAATCCTACCTGTTCACTTTCTTCCCCGCTCGGATATCGTTGCATGATTAAAAGAAAAATTGAGTTGCAAAAATACGATTTCAGTATTAATGCATCTATGCATATTGCATGATTACGTATATGCATTTCAACCATGTAGCGTGTATGTAGTTATATCTGAACTCACCACATTACATCACAGATAATTCATCATTTCATAAACGTGATGTCTTGTCTGATGGCGTTCAGCATGTCATTCACCCATTTGCCGGTCAGTTAGAATAGGGCGAATCGGCTAGCGTTAGAGCACACTCAGTTTCGATATCAGGTGACATATTTATCATGTATGGTTATGTTTAGTAATGTCAATTACGGAAAATCGTGATACCGATACCAAACCAAATACCAACAAAAACCATGAGAAAATACCGAAACCGAACCGACTTTGGAAAATGAGAAAAATACCAACTTTATACCAAATTAGCTGCCTCTTTTACATTAGTCAGAATTCATAATACCAACAAAATACCGAAAGCCTTAGTATTGAAATACCAAATACCTACCAAGTTGGTATCGGTTTGGTATCGGTATACCAAAAAGTTGGTATCCGATTGACATGTAGTTATGTTGTTCTATAGGTTTTTACTTGAGACTCGGTGTTTTCTTATTTGAGGAGATTTATCGTCTCATACCTATGTTCCTTTGTAGGCAGGCATGAGGTATGCCACATTGTGCCAATTCTGTATAGCGTATGTATGTAGACATTTCTTCTTATGCTGCTTCGTGCAAAAGCATTGGCCAAACCATAAAACAAGTGACCTCTGAATGACCCTGATTTGGCATAGAGCGTGCCGCGGGCGTCTCGGAGTGCCCCAGAGCTGTGACCTGACCGTGACTGATCGGCCAGGTAAGTCGATGACTGATGACGGCCCCGGCTGCAAGTACGTGCCGGCGCAGGGCGCCACCCCCGACGAGCCGACGTGCTCCACCAAGGCGGACGTCGTGGCCGTGTTCGACCCGAGCGTCAGCGGCATCGGGGCGCAGGCGCAGAAAATCTTCCTCTCGTAAGTCCATCGGACATTCTCTGTTATACCTCTGTTTCTTTCGTGAGTTCCGCGAACATTTTTCGTTTGCCCATTTTTTGCACCATTGCGTGCCCGTGCGTTTTCCACAGCGGGGCAATGATCAGGGTGGACACTCACGTCCTTTCCGGGGAAACTAAAAACTCCAGTTCGGCAGTTCTGCGATGTCAGAGTTTCCACCGTCACAGCGCCTTCCCATTCACACGCTCAGGTCTTCCCTAGCGCATTGCACAGCCAGGGTACCCAGGGAGACGCAGCCGCCCATCAGCCCTCTCTGCGGCCGGCGGGCGGGTCTCTGGCCGGAGCTGAGCTCCCGCAGGCAGCGTGCTATTGCGCTGTTCCGACCCGCCGTGTGTTTCCGATGTTCGGCGCAGGGAGCTGGCGCTGGCGCTGGACGTGGGCTGGAACAAGTCGTACATGCACCTGGTCAGCGGTGAGGACGGCGCCGTGCTGCTGGACAAGTGGAACTACACCAACAAGGCGCGCCTGGCCTGCGACATCCAGCGTGTGGACGGTGAGAGGCTAGGTCGGGCCCGACCCGCTACCGTCCCAGCTCCGACACCGGCTACAAACTGACCTCGGACCCCTCCTAATGTGACCTGCCACGACTCCTGTGAAACACCAATCTTTGAAATTTGATATTGCTTATAAACTTTTCAGTGCTTTTCGTGCTCCGGATTCGACTTATTTTATTCGATTATTTTTAATATATTGTATTATTCGATTATTTTTATCCTAGCTTCTCTAAAGCAGTTAGCTAATGGTTCACCTTTTTTGCTCATCCGGCTGCTCATGCTGATACTCCTTGATCACCTCGAAGTTGAAGTTATGAGATATTCATCATATCTGAGTGATTACTGCTCTTATACGAGCTTTGTTTGTCATTTGCGTTTTACTTAGGTATTTTATCGGTGTGGTACTCATAACCATTGTTTTCTCATTGTTTTCTATCACAGTTAGGTATGCTTAGTATATTTGAAATTACCCAAGGAAGCTGAACATTGTCAATGGCAGGTTAAATATGAATATAAACTTAGCGCAATTCCAGATTCACTCGCACAGCGCACATGTCAACCAAATGATGCTGAGGCGGTGTCTAAAAATTGTTTTTGTATGCATATTATTAGACTTAAATACTATATCATATTTCAGTTTCCAAGTGATAGCCTTTTGTGTAGCCAGCTCCGGTACGATTTACGCTGTTTTGTCTGATGTGTTTCAGTTCCGGACGGGCAGTACGACCTGGTGGCCACCCTGTACCGCCTGATGACCTACTACGCTGATATGCTGGACCAGGAGGCCAACGATGTGAGTATGGGCCAGCGTCTGCTGGCGGTTAGCTGCAGAGCGCGGAATACACGGACCTCCGGGTGACACGGAATCGGTTACAGCGGCCCTGAGTCGGTCATGAAGTCTTTTGAAATTCCATGGTAATAGGCGGCATCTGTGCTGAGTTATTGGACTTCGACTGTTTACAATTTGCATGGTGTTGAACAATGTGCAATGTAAATGGCTAACGAAAAAATCACGTGTGAGATGATGTGGACAGCTTATCGTACATGTCTAAATTCTACCGTCGCTAGCCACCTTTTCCGGTCAGCGTAAATGGTCAGGGCCTGTGCATTACGCTCCACAGTCCACATGGCGATGTTGTGTGTCTCTGACTGGCTGCACTGCTGACTTGGCCTCAGACACCTCTCGTATAGAACGTCGCTCCACTTCTCACGGGCGGCGGCCAGTTGCCTGGAATGGTAGGCTGTGCCGCATCACACGGGCTGAGTGCTACAGCCTGGCCCTGTGGTGTATTTTCGAGAGAGTTGGCAGTTGGCACTGACTAGCATTTTAGTCAATTGATAGCTTGTGAGGAGTGGAACATCATCCTGCAGTCATGGTGTAGGTACATGCGGACATCATGCATAAATTTCGATTTATTTTGAAAGATAAAACAACGCACTGAAATACCTAGTTAGGTTACAGTTGAACGTCATGAAATCTACAGTTACAATCACACAATTGATCCTAATGGCTGGCAATCCAGATATTAGTTATTAACATTTAACTCACAAGTCAAACTCCTTATTTTTGTCCATGCTGACTATTTAGGGACATATTTGTGCTATGAGGTTATCGGTGGAGCCAACAAATAAATAAATGCACTTACTTGTATTGTATGTATGTATGTATGTATGTATGTATGTATTGACGATCAAGAGCAATCCACAATCGGCGTGGCGATTACACTCCGAGTCCGAGCTGGTTGAAGATAACACAAGAAATAGGTACCTACACAAGAAAACGCACACACTTACGGATACGAAATACACAACGCGAACGCCGAACACGCACATACTTGGTGTAACCCGCACGAAGCCGCGTTCATAACTATGTACACACAGACTCGTTTGCCTTTCATAGTCCAAGAGTCATGAGGCTAGCTACTATGGCTACTCTGGCTAGGCTTAAGCCCCTTTTTTACAGCACGGGCAAATCTGGCTGGAGGCAACTGCGTTAGCTCGAGGGGGAGAGTATTTAGGAGCGCCGCGGCACGGTAGGCGAATCTACGTTTTCCGGTCTCTAGTCGGGGTCGCGGTAAGTGGAAAAGGTGGTCTTGGCGAGTAGACCTTGCTCGTGTTTGGGAATTTTTGGAAAATAGGGTCGCGATCTCCTCGGGTTCACCTCTCTGGATGGCCTTGTGCGCCGTGATAAGGGTATGGTATTCAGCCATTGTTTTAGGTGCCATCCAGCCGAGTTGGTCCCGGAGATGGGAGACATGATCAAATTTACGGCGACCGAAAATGACTCTAGCGGCAAAGTTAAGAATTTTCTGAATGCGATCGAAGTTCTTTTGGCTACCATTACCAAATACGGAGAGGCAGTACTGGATCCGTGACATGACGAGAGCCACCACTAGTGTCTTGGTGACACCGTCGGGGAGATAGTGGCGGACATGGGAGAGGCCAATTAGGAGACCCGTGCATCGGCGACTGAGCTCGGACACATGCGCGTCCCAGGACAGGGTGCCGTCGAAGATAACGCCCAGGTTGCCCACCTGCTTGCATGGCACTAGTTTGGTGTCGCGAAAAGAAACGGTGAAAGCAGGTATGCTTCTCAAATTTTGCCGACTGCCGAAAACCATGAGCTGAGTTTTAGCAGTGTTTACTTTAAGAGCATTTGCACTGAACCAATGGTCGAGAGACGCCAGTGACGCTTCCAAGCGCGAGATGAGTCCCCTAAGGTCGTTTAAAGGGCCACTCACCAACAATTGAGTATCGTCAGCGATCCTCAGAATAAAGTGATAGATCATTGGAAAATACCGTGAAGAGTAAGGGACCGAGTGCCGAGCCTTGAAAGACGCCCATAGAGTTGGGGAGAGGTTGTGATAATACCCGGCGACCGGACTCGTCCTTCAATGACACACTCTGTGTGTGACCCTGGAGATAAGCGGCGAACCAGGATGTCTCTATGCCGTGCATTGCCAATTTAGCGAGTAATAACTCATGGTTGATGACATCAAAACATTTGCTTAAATCAATAAGGCATAGCATAGAGACATCCCCCCTATCGGTGGCGGCCAGGATTTGATCACTGACGGACAGAAGTGCTGTCTCAGTTGAGTGCCGGGGTCGGAAACCGTGCTGGGTATTGGCCAGAAGATGGTTTTGAGAGAGATAGCGATAGAGCTGTTTGTGAATGACTCGCTCGACCACCTTCATAATGACAGGTACTAAGGAGATAGGTCGAAAATTAGTGGGATCAGACGGGTTTCCAGACTTGAAGATGGGGTGAACTATAGAGTGTTTCCAATGAAAGGGGATATCGGACCTTGAGATGCAAGTGTTAATGATGTGAAGGATAACGTCACCGATAGATGGGAAAGCGGTTTTCAGCATGCGAATGCAGACGCCATCAGACGCACAGGCGGCAGAATTGCGCATATTGAAAACGGTGTGACCGAGTTCACCGAGAGAGATAGGTCTGGGCTTAAATCTACCGGTTACGACACGCGGCAAACGGCCAATTTGCTCAACAACTGGATTTTGGTCACGGATCTCTGTAGCGACGCGGGGACCCACAGAAACGAAAAAAGAATTTAAAACGTCAGCCGATACATCAGGTTGAACACTAGGTCCGTCTTTCTTACCAGCCACAACCGACCTAATACTTTTCCACACCTTGTTGGGACCCCGCCCACTAATCTCTCTGTGAAGTTCGCCGCGTCGGTCTCGTCGCACTGCGGCCCGGACAGTTCGGTTCAAGTCTTTGTAAACCTCCGACTTTCTACCGAACTGCTGTAACGCGGTACGACGTTGATCCATGATTTTAAGTGTGGCGGGGGTAACTGGTGGTGCTGTAGGATTACGGATGGTAATATTCTTTATAGGTGCGTGATCGTCAAAAATCGGCAGAAATTCGGTCAGGAAAGCATCCCACTGGTCACTTACGTTCGTGGCACTAAACACGCCCTCCCAATCGGCAAACATGAGGTCAGAGTTCAGGGCATCGACATCTATACGGTTGATCGAGCGGGATTGAACAACTGTAGGATTTTTGCGTTGTTTCGGGACGTTAATAGACACACGAAGGAGTTTGTGCGGGCTGAAGTGGCAAAAGGATGCAGAGCAATCACGCACAAGCTCTCTATTTTTAACCATACAGACGTCTAGCAACGAGCCGGAAGTGTACGTTGGGACGGTTACAAGCTGCTCAAGAGAATAATTCGATAATTATTGACGTTTCGGTTTCAAACAACCTTCGTCAGAATAGAATACAAGCTAAAATATAAATATACGTCTCAAATGCACATATTTCAAACACACTGAGAACATGAGAACACACACTGAGAACATGAGAACACACACTGAGAACATGAGAACACACACTGAGAACATCAGAACACACATGTTCTCAGTGTGTTTGAAATATGTGCATTTGAGACGTATATTTATATTTTAGCTGGTATTCTATTCTGACGAAGGTTGTTTGAAACCGAAACGTCAATACAAGTAAGTGCATTTAGTTATTTGTTGGCTCCACCGATAACCTCATAGCACATTTTTGTCCATGTCGGTAAATCCATATATCAAAATGTTCATAGCCATGAGAAAGGAGCACGAGCTCCGTTGTCCTCGTTCTGATTTCTTTTAGTACTCCTTGCCTCCGTCGGACGGCCGTCGTCGTCTGAGCTCTGCACTGAGCTCTGCATGTGAGCTTTGTGTGTGTGAGCTCTGTGTGTGAGCTCTATCCGAGCTCTGTTTGTGAGCTCTGTGTGTGTGAACTCTGTGTGTAGGCTCTGTGTGTAACCTCTGACTGTAACTACCTATGTGTGAGCTTTGTATCTAAACTCTGTAGCTATGTCTCTGAGCTATGTGTGTAAGCTCCGTATGCTGGCTCTGTGTGTGAGCTTGGTGTGTATGTGTGAGCTCTGTATCTGAACTCTGTGAGCGTCTATCTGAGCTCTATGTGTGAGCTCTGTGTGTCTCCGTGCAGGGCGCCTCTCGGTCCAACACCCAGGTGCTGCTGCTGATGAGGTTCGGCAGCGGCTTCAGCAACAGCGACGAGGACATCACCACCATGCTCAACAACCTCTGCGAAGTGTTCCCCGGTGAGCGAACCGCCCTGTGTCGCGAAAAATCGGGGTGCTTACAGGACTTTTGTCTGACAGAAGCGCATTTCAGTTTATTTTCTCTCCCATTAACCCGCGCCCCACTGGGGGGGGGCTATTTATAGCCCCCCTCCCGTTTTTCTGCAATAACTTCCAATCCGCTTGACGTATCGACGCCAAACTTTCAGTACCTTCGGCTGCATCAATTTGACACCTTGTGTCAAAATTTGAACTTCGTAGCTACCATAGGTCGGCCGGAAATGACGTCAGAGTGACGTCATGTTCGGCCGATTTCGACGCAAAACATTGAACCACGGCAATCGCTCCCAAGGGCTCAGTTTTAAGGCTAGATCCAATTTCTTTGCATGAGAGGACTCAGAATAGACTGCGCTATCAAACTGCTATCTCGGATTTTCGAAATTTTGAAAATTTTGAAAATTTTATATAATAAAATTCAAAATTTACATTTTTACATTTTTTCAAAAAGTGTTTGACTGTTCGAAAAAACCGGAATATATGTGATAGAACGCGTTATTATGACTAACTCTAGCAAGTTTTAGCTAAATATCTTCAAAAATGGTCAAGTTATACGCATTATTGCAAAAAAATCACAATTATTAATTTTTCAAATCAATTTTTCAGCACGTATTTGGCATCGTACGCCAATATAAATAGCACCATCGTGTTCCTGAGCTCAAACTGCATCCAATAGACACCTTTTTTGTTGAAAATTTTGAACTTCAAAATTTGACCTTTTTTGACCTGAAAGTGACCTGACCTAAGCTAAATTCGACTCAAAATGACCTCGAATGACACAGACGACATCAAATTCGAAATATTTGGCCTAATTGGACCATAAAACATGTGTCACGTGACCGACGCATGATATAATATTTTCGTGACCTGTGATGACCTGACCTTGACCTGAAAATCAAAGGACAGGTTAGGTACCCTCAGGGTATCTAGAGCATCTGTTCACGAGTGTGTGAACCAAAAATGAGCCTGATCTGACTTGTAAGACGGCGGCCAGAGCCCAAAACGTGAACAAGCCAAAATGCTAATAATTTTTAATTTGACCTGACCTGTGACGTCATCGGTGACCTCGAGGTCAATGAAATTAGGTTTCGTTCGACAGTTTTTCCCGGGGCTATCAGACGCCGTTTGAATTTTGACGATCGGCCCAGTAGTTTCGGAGTTAGGAGGAATGATGAATAGCCCTGATGAATATGAATAGCCCCCCCCCCCCCCCCAGTAGGGCGTGTTATACGCAGACCCCAGTGGGGCGCGGGTTAACTTGCTGAGGAGGTCGCTAAAATGACATGATTTTATTTCACCAATGTCAATCATCCAAGATAAAGGTTAAAGCAGGCCCTCTGAGAAGATAAATTTGACCAAACCTTTATGAATCCCTGGAAGTTTCAAAGCAATGATTAACCCGGCACCGCCTGGGCTATTTCCGTACCGTAAACCGGGGTGAGTTGATATGGATTTTGAGGTTTTTCTAGATTTCATTAAAAGCCACATTCATTTACAGAATTCTTTTTGTGCCAGTTTCATGGCACATGCCTTGGGGAGGCAATCAGCAAAAATGAATAGAAAATATATGTATTAAGCCCCTTTTTTAAAACGCCAAAGTTCATATCAACTCACCCCCTGGGGGTGGTGAGTTGATATGGTTTTGGATTTTTCAAAATTTCTCGGCTAAAGAAGCTTAGAGGTGTGTTGATAAAATGCCAGTGTTTAAAAAAAGGAAGAGAGAACACATCCTGAAAGAAACCATCAGAAAAATGGTAGTAGTTTGGAGGCAGACCTCACATTCATGAAAACGCAATCATGTCCAACACAGCGCTATCAAAATGGCTTGATTTTAGCAGCATCATTTTTTTCGCTTTATGATACTTAGTTTTACTTAGAACATTCTGAACTTGGCTAGTCACGTGTCCTCAAGCCAACGGTATCAAAACTGGCAATTTATTTTGGAATTACAAGTGTATTTTCTTGTAGTAAAAACACATTGTCAGTTGCGGGTCAAGGTTGATATGCCTCTGACAGAGATAATGGATTGAAATGAAAGAATACATATACTTCTGAGCTTTTGTTGACTGGTAGTCAACAAAACATTAATGAAGTGAAGTGAAGTGAATGTAATTTGGACTGTATTCTATGAGGTGAAATAAGCGACATAAGACAGAATTCGGCATCAAAAGCCAAAATTAACCCTCGCAATTATAGGCGGGCGAACGGACCACCTCGGCTTTTCGCACATAACTCGCGCAAAAAGCGGCTGATCGCGACGAAACTTTCAGTACCTCTCGAGTTTATCAATTTTACACATGTTCTAAAGATTTCATGACCCTGACTCAAATAATTTTTGACTTGTGACCTGATTCTCGAGACCATGCTAGGCCGGAATCGCGATTTGGCGTAGTCGGCTCACATTATCCGCGCATTTCCAGTCTTTTTGTGATTGTAACGTCCAAACATGTAAATGATGTTGGTCCCACGCAATATTGTGGGTGTCAACTGTCAAGGTCACCTGAAGGTCAGGTCAGGTCATTGACCTTTGGTGAACTCGAATCACTTTTTGGAGGTTTACATGTTTCTAGGGTAGTTTTTCGGGCCGATTTCGAATTTAACATGCATTTGATCATTTACGAAGTAGTTTTAGTGCCTTCGTAACATGTTACGACATCGTCAGTGGTAGTTGACACTTGACACTCCCTATGGATAGCCGGCAGGACACCTACTGGTTGACCTGACCTGACCTGACCTGGCCTAAATGTACGAAGACATCTGTGATCAAAACTAACATGACATTCGTGATCAGCAACAGCCAAAAAATAATAAACTCGCTTTACGAACTTCAAATAACCCCCTATTTTCCCGACTTCTGGGTAATTGACCTGGCCTGGAAGGTTAACCAATGACCTAGGACCTTAAAGCTGGCTATCATCGGCTCGGCTTCCTCGCGTCTTGGGCAACACGCTCATTTTTTTCCGCGAAGCTCCACCAGGGGCCAAACGACGATGGGATTGCAACGGACCCCCCCCCCCCTTATACGTTAAACGCTGGCAAAACACGAATACGGGCGAGGGCTAAAACACCAGTCAATTTCTTTATATTGTTTGTTCCATTTCATTTTGTCACTCATTCTCGGTTGGCAACTGCCAAGCAGGAAAACTAATCAGTTTCACGAAATCAGAATTCCCGCGCTGTTAGCCATACAGAAACGACAGTTCTGTCATTTTCGAAACTACGAATAATTATAACAATTTTTTAAATCTGTATGTATATAGGTGCATGCCTTTTGCATGTTAGGTATGTCCACAGAAAAAAAAAACTTTGGGGTCACTGATGTTAGTTGTCGGACCTTCGTCCCCGTCTTGAGTTGAGATGTTAGTTTCACAACGTTTCGGCCAGTTACTCTCCGGCCGTCGTCACTCGTCAGGTGTTCTTTGACCCTCAGAAGGACCTGGATGTTGGTGGCGTTGCGCCGTAAGCGTCAAACAGTTCGAAAGCTCCTGTAGTCAGCGGGAATCGAACTCCGGTACTCTTACTCCGGTTACTCTCCGGCCGTCGTCACTCGTCAGGTGTTCTTTGACCCTCAGAAGGACCTGGATGTTGGTGGCGTTGCGCCGTAAGCGTCAAACAGTTCGAAAGCTCCTGTAGTCAGCGGGAATCGAACTCCGGTCCCCCCCTGATGGTCCACGGTTCTAACCACCCCACTATCGAGGCAGATTGGACTATGGCCGGAGAAGTTACTGGCTGAAACGTTGTGAAACTAACATCTCAACTCAAGACGGGGACGAAAGTCCGACAACTAACATCAGTGATACTAACAGGCCTCGTCTCAAGCATTCAGAAAAAAAAACTAAAGCTTTTGGGGGTTGATGTAATGATGTGGGGAAAGAAAAGGAGAAGAGTTGGTCTAATTGACTTTGTCTTACCTGCAGACCCATATTTCATGCTAATTTGCATGCATACCAGCCTGGTATCAGCTTTTATCATGCATATCAACTCACCACTGGATGGCATATCAACTCACCACCTGCCACTTTTCTTAAAATTATAAAAAAGCGTTGTTATAGGTGAAACCCAAAACTACCTGGGATCAACAGTAAATTGATGGTAGTTTCTTTCCCAGTGCATGTTGTTCCATGAATGTCCACCGTCTTTGCTGTAGGGTGGGGACTTTTCCTTAGTTTCAAAATCAGAAGAAAAAAGGACTTTAAAAAAAGTAATGTGTTAAGAAGGCACTGCACCACATGCATGCCTTTCCCAGCTATATGCATCACTTATTGGTTGCTTCACTTCACAGAAAAATAAAACTGAAAATTGGTTTACAAATGAATGAGCAGCACACATTTTAACATTTTTCGAGCAATTTATATCAACTCACCACCCCATATCAACTCACCCCGGTTTACGGTACCCACGACAGCCTGGGGGGGGGTCGGATCCGACCCCCCCCCCCCTGTTATCTCGAGAACCAATGGTCGCATCGAGCCCCGCGAGGCGGCGTTCGAAAGGTCTCTACGAGACCTTCCCAAAGCACTCTTAAGATTTTAACCCGCGCACCGACGGGGGTCTGCGCCAACTTAGTACCGACGGCGGGGGGGGGGGCGGATGACCGCCCCCCCCTGAGATCTCGAGAACGAAGCAAGATAGCGACAAGCGGTAAACGGCATCGGATACGCACGGATAAGGTCTACAATTTTTACTAAAGTCATTTTCAGGTCAGGTCAAAGATGACGTCACAGGGGTCGAAAAAGTCAAAATGGCGGCGCTAGATATGGAGAGGGTTTTTCACGAATAACTTTCGAAGTAGTCAAGATAGGAACAAACTAAGAGCATCATCGTGATCCTCTCGTCGATCCGCATCGAATGATATATATGTTGACCTCGAAAGGTCAAGGTCAAAGGTTGACCTCAGGTCACGTGACCTCGAGGTCATCATGTATATCATTCGATGCGTCTTGACGAGCTGAACACAATGAGACCATCCGCGCGGCTGTATCTTGTTCCTGTAAGGAGTTATTGGCAAAAAACCTTTGGTGACCTTTGATGACGTCACATGACCTTACAGCTGCCCAACAGCAAAACAGACCTCAAGGTAGTGAAGGTTGATCGTATGTGAAGTCATGTATGGTATATGGGGCCATTCCGACCCGTTTTAGTTGTAAAAACAGGGAGTTGATTTTTCCCCCATTGACTTATAATGGGGAGGTCGCGAAATTGACCTGACCTTAGGTCACCGACATCAAAATTCCGAGATATACAAATTGTAGCTACTAATGACCTAATAACATCCTGCGACTTTCAAAGGCCTCCGACATCTACTGTAGCTCTGGCACGGTGACAAAGTTGCAAAAAAGTGACTTGAGGTTGGGTCATTCAAAGTGACCTGGTGACCTGACCTTAAAAGTTAGGAGGTTCAAACTTGCACACCATGTGTAAAATTGATGAGAGAATAGTCATACCAAATTTCGCGGTGCTACGCGCCGCGGTTTTCCCGCTATCCGCGAAAAACCTCAGGGGGGGGGCGGATATCCGCCCCCCCCCCGTCGGTGCGCGGGTTAAGATTGAGGTCAACTTTCGGGTCAAGGTCAGGTCAAAGGTCAAATTCTGGGGTTTTACATGATTAGGCTTACGGACAGCGGAATAGATAGCTGCTGCTCGAAACTCACCAAAAATGACCTCAAAGGCCTAGTGAAGGTACCATGTAAGTATAGAGGTCATACTAAGTACGGGTCAAGGTCAGGTCAGGTCACGAAAGGTCACGGTTTTCACTTTCTGCTACATGGGCGTGCAACACATGTTTTATGGCTTATTTTTCACGCCGAATCCGATGGTAATGGTTATATGTGACCCCAATTCACTTTGCTGGTGATAAGTGTGCATTGAAAGCATAAAAAATCGTTTATACTAAACGAGGGCTGAGAAAAAGGGTCATTTTTTCCACTTTTTATTTTTGACATAAAAATGCACTTTTCTAGACGAGCTTTGTCCCAGAAATCTAGTGGTGCCATTTGTTTTCACATGCGATGTTCAGAAGTGCCTCTAATTCACGAAAATGCTAATGACGTCACCATGCCCTATGCATGTTGGAGCTATTTTTTACAATTTGGGGGTCAAAAATCAAGATAGAAAGTTGAAATTTGGGACATCTAATGTTCTAATGGAGCTCTATAGCATATATTCCGGTTTTTTGGAAATTCTCAAAATTTTGGATTTTATTAGCTGTTTTCCAAAAAATGTAGTTTTTTGAATTTTTAGGGGTGAAAAACGCATTTTATGGAAAATCCGAGATAGCCATTTTAAAGAACTCGTTAAGCTGCGTCTATTCATGTCCTTAATTTGCAATTTGCTTTTAACCCTGATTTATGGCGATTTTTTAAACATTTACCACTTTTTGACTAAAAACGCCATGTAGTTACATCACTAAAATCGATATATCTAAAAAAAAATGATTTTTTTTTTCTTAAAAATTACACAGAAGACGTCAAATTGATGGGGGAGAAGGTATGCCAAGTTTCAAGTTGATAGCGTAAGCGGTTCTTGAGTTATTCAAGAAAAACGGAGGGGGGTCGGATCCGACCCCCCCCAGGCGGTCGAGGGTTAAGTCGTGCAGTCGTACAACTTCAAGATAAGTGCAAACATAGAGGCCGGTGACACATCAGCCCGCGGCCATAATCTATCGTTGCCCAACGTTCCGCAATCTGCAAAGGAGTCCGGAATAGTCATATGGACGAAGTCCGGTGTTGCACACTCGATTGAGCAGATAGCAGGTCCTAAAGCCGGCCTTATCATGCCGTAGGTATGTCGAAACCCACTCGTAGCGGCGCCACAAAGGACGCCTGACACCGTCTAATCATTCTACGGACTCAGAAAACATTTACATGATTGGAGTGGCATTTCCTTTGCATGAGTAGTTGTGAGAGGCTGTTGCAGCTCAGCTTAATGTTCCACAGAAGAAAAACGATGACTGACAAGCAGTGATACTTCACATGTTGTCCGTAACATATGCAACTTTTCTCTCATTTTCCAAGCAACACCAAGAGCGATATCTTTTCAATATGGATATAGTGGCGAAGTGTACCACACAGTAAGTACACTTGCGAGTATTCTTATCGTCACTTATCATGAACCGTCATATCGATAGTGCGGTGCCCATTCGAATTCGACCCAACGAATCTCGAAACCACACAGCTCGTGCTGTGTTTCTTTTCCTGTTTGGAAACAGGAATCGCCATATCTATAGGGGTAGGTGTATATGTAAATGGAGCGCCAGCCGAGCCGACAGCCGCTGTCTCTGTGTCACGCCCGACGCCCGCAATATCTCCGGCAGACATCAACATCATGACGGTGTCGGACAGCCAGGGGGCGTTCAGTAACATCCAGCAGGCGATGGACCGGCGCCAGTTCCTGGCCGACAACATGTTCGCGTCCGAGTCCTCTCAGCGCGCCACCCGCGAAACCCTGGTGCCGGAGGTCATCGCCAACATGTGCAACGGTAAGCTGAACGGCAGCGGGGCGCCGGGCTGTGTGCAGCGCTGGGCTGGGCTGGCGGTATCTCAGCTCCGGCAGTCACTCCGGCTGGTCAGTGGCGAGCGTGACCTCGGTAAGGTGACCTCGGTAAGGCTAAGTAAGTTGATCTCGGTAAGGTGACTATGACCTCGGTGAGGTAAAGTAAAGTTGATCTCGGTAACGTAACTATGCATGACCTCTGTAAAGAAACGGTGACATTGGTAAGGTAGATGTGTCCTCGATAACAACCGGAAGCTGTACTAAGCTGTACTTTATGCGGGTGAGCACTGCACTGTTCGGTGGTAAGTGGCTCCCCAGACGACCGATATGTATGCCGTGACCGCGCACATCAATGCTTAGCGGCACTGTCAAGTATCAACCTGCACTCAGTGTTTGACTCTAGTCTTCTCAGAGCACTTCAGCGGGGGGGGGGGCATGGTGCTTGAGATTCCATGGCACTAGAGGAACTTGCAAGCGACATATATCAACGTGGCAATGTGCTGGTTTGTGCACCTCGCCTGACGTCCCACAGCGCCGTCCCGGCTCGTGTAGTTATGTAGCTTGACGTGTAGACTTATGTGCAGCCTGATGCCCTGTTCTGTACTCCTGTTCTGTACCCCACAGCGTTGTCCCGGTTCGTGTACCCCGCCTGACGCCCTGTTCTGTACCCCTGTTCTACACCCCACAGCGCCGTCACGGTTCGTGTACCCCGCCTGCCACACGGACGACCCAATGTTCACCAACGTCAACGAGGGTAACCACGAGTACACCTACTACGTCGAGCCCAACAAGGTGACCTACCTGCGGGTCGGGCCGCAGCAGTTCTTCTCCAGCAACGACCTCAAGATCCAGGTCAGTGCCCGAGATGGAATGGACGGTACCTGTACTCAGCGACCGATTTCATGGGACTGATGTGTCAGAATGTTCCACGGGTGGTGTTCTAACTTCGTTCTTTTCATAATTGTGATCGCTGAATCGGATATTTTATGCGTTTAGAAAGTTCGATTGTGACGCACTGCTATGGGCATCGTCTTTCATTAGATCTTAAACACAAAGATGTCTAATCAACTGCTATCGGGAGAGATATGCGCCCGTTAGCGCGTCTGTGTGCTCGTTTGTCTGAGCGCAGAGTGCCGTTTGCACCTCCGTGTCTGAGTTTTCGTTGGTCTGAGCGCCGTGTGCTATTTGCTCCGCTTCAGTTCGAGTCGGTGTACGGCCCCCTGCAGGTCTGCCTCAGCCGCACCGATCCGCAGGCCCCTGTCGACGCCGATGACGCCCAGTGCGTCTCCACCGGTCAGTCCGCGACGGAGTCGACGCGAGGAGCGAGCCGCGCGCCCGTGCCGACGCGAACCCGCACTGACACGGCGCACTCACACCGCCGAGGGCACAACTCGCGAGCCCACGTCATGTTCACACCGCCGCGCGCCCGCGCCCCTCACGGCAATCCAAATACCACCCTGAACCGGGCGCGATGTGCCAGTAACATTAACCCGCGACCTGGTGGGGGGCTATTTTTTGCCCCCCCCCCCCCTCCAGACTTTTCGATATATCTCCAGAACCGCTGCGCCGATCGTCACCAAACCTTCAGTACCCTCCCGGACATCAATTTTACACATTGTGACCAAACATTTTCCAAAGGCTATGATAGGTTGGCCGGAAATGACGTCAGAGTGACGTCATGTTCTGCCGTTTTCGACCCAAAGAAGGGTTTCGCGGGAAGAGCTGTCAGGCCTATAGCTTTGCAAATACAGAAAAATGATAAAGACATAAAAGCTGTAGATTAGACAGGGCTACAAAACTAATATCTCGGATTTTTGAAATTTTTGGATTTTGACCCCCAAAAATCAAAAAATAGATTTTTTGGATATAATAATCGAAAAATCCAAAAAATTTTTTGAATTTCGCAAAAACCAGAATATATGTGATAGTCCTTACCACCTTCCATCCACATACCAAATTTGAGATTGATACCTCTTTTTTTGGCGAAGTTATAGCGAAAAAACTGTTCAAAATTGATGACGTCAAATTTTCAAACTCAATTTTTAGCAATTCTAGACCCCGTAGCGCAAAACAAAGACCACCATTAGACTCCCCGTGACGAGCTGCATCGAATCAATACCCATTTTATGCAAAACTATCAACTTTAAAATTTTACCTTTTTTGGCCTGACCTTGACCTGACCTTGACCTGAACTTCACCAGAAAGTGACCTAATCCGTACCTGACAGTCTTATAACCAACACCATTGAGTTGGAAATGAAAAATTGGCCATAAAACATGCATCACACAACCTTAGTAAAGTTGGGCTCATGTGACCTGACCTGTGACCCTTGGTGACCTGACCTGTGACGTGACCTGGTATTGTCAGTGACCTCTAATAGCAACATATCTACTAGGCAACTGACGCCCTATCGCTGATTCTCGACAAAATGCGTTTTCCTCGGTGTTATAGCGCATTCCCTAGAAGACCCGTGAACGGTGAAACATTTCATCTTTGACCTGACCTGTGACGTCATCGGTGACCCCGAGGTCAATGAAATTTGGTTTCCTTCGACAAATTTGACAGGCCTTTCGAACGCCGTTTGAATTTTGCGGATCCGTCCAGTAGTTTCGGAGATACGAGGGGGGCAAAAAATAGCCCCCCCCCCCCCCCCCACCAGGTCGCGTTATAAACAGACCCCACCAGGGCGCGGGTTAACTCTACGGGAAGTAGAGTTAATGTTACTGGTTACTGGTTAAAGAGTTAATGTTCATGCTAATATATTCGCTACCGTTGACTGTAATGGAGCAGTATTCGTCTCTGCGTTCAAGACTTACAATGTTTGGCTGCATGATACGAGTACACTTTTGCACACCCTCAGAGGTCAGAGGTCGGTGGCTATATATTTGATATCTGTTTCCGCTGTCCCCCCTGCCCCCATTGTGGTCTCGGTTTCCCGCCGTAACCCTCCTCCCCGCTGTGCGGCGGCTGTCGTCTCCCCGGCAGAGTCCTCCCAGTCGAGTCAGGTGGAGTTCGAGCTCGGCACGCCCTGCTCCGAGGACCAGATGAACGACGACTGCCCGCCGCTCTACTTCTCCATCCAGCAGAACCCCGAGAAGACGTCCGCCATCTCCGTCTGCACAGGTTTGTGACCGCATAAACCCTGTCTGCAGTCTGCACTGAGTTTGTATCCGTAACCTCCGTCTGCACAGGTTTGTATCCTTATTCCGTAACCTCCGTCTGCACAGGGTTGTGCAGTGCTCTGTGGGGAGTGAGTTCACTGAAAGAGCTCCCGTTATCTCTAACAGCCTGCGAATGATGTATGTCCCGATACGTGGAGTAGCGAGGCATGCCTTAAGCGACTCAGGCTCACATGATCCGGGCGGGGTATCCCCGTCAAAGACTTACTTATACCTGATGTTCATCAATAAAGTCTCAGTCAGCACGACTCCATCTCCTTTTCAGACGACGAGTGTCCGTTCCCGGACAGCATCCAGTTCACCATCACACACGAGAACATGCGCTGCAACTCGGCCGGCGGTGCGACGCTGTCTCTGCTGCTGCTGGGGGCCGCCGTCGGCCTGCGCCGCCTGTTCGGCTAGGCGGCGGTAGGCGGGTGACAGGCGGCGGTAGGCGGGCGCCGCCTGTTCGGCTAGGCAGTGGTAGGCGGGCGTCGACCGGTGCTGTGCAGTGACTCGTGACCGGTGAGCGGTCGCTGGGCTGGGGCAGTCAGTGGCCGAGTGGCGGGGTAACTGAGCTTAGACGGGGACCGAGCTTATTGTGCCGAGGGGCGCCCAACGAGCGGAGCTCTGTGTTAGATCGGCAGTAGCGACTGCTATTGTTATACTCGCTGATCCCCGGCGGTATCGCTGAGACACGTCATTAATTATAGAGCTGGGTGACCCCGTCTGGATTCTCTTCGATTTTGTTTAAATCCCTCCCGTATCACGATCAATAAATAAAGCGGGTTGCATGTCAGCGGGTCCCAGTTTCCCTGCAGGTGCTTTTTGAGAGCGGGTTATATGTGAACTGTATGACGGGTCCCAGCTGGGGGCCATTGTTCCCAGTGTATGTGTTTTGCTGTTACTAGTGAGTGCCCCTTCCTGAAACGAAATCCAATCAACAGCTTCTAAGAATAGTGTCGATGACACCTTAATCAAACCCTACTATCACTTCCTTTCTGTTTCTGGTATCGTTTTTGTGTGCAGTCAGTCGTGATGGGGCGGATTTTCACGCCAAATAAATGATTTAATTAGTGAAATGCCGTCCATTTGGCTTTTCGTAGGGCCCAGTTGTTGATTACTCTATATTGTAGAACAATGCTGTAATTTAGATATTGGGCATTGGACAAGTTATCATAGTAGGCTTTCGTTGGTGAGCATTCAGTTTTATATTACCCATTAAAAATATGTTATGCAGTTCATTTGGGGAAGTATTTTAAGCAGAAGTGCGTATTGCGAACCCCCGCAAATGTGGTTTACAGACAGTTCCATAAGAATTATCCCGTTGTCGCTTTACATGTTAAGAGATTGGCGTTAAATGTCGTCAGGTCTAAGGCTGCATGGCCCAGGAATCGGTTGTGATTCACACAGTAGTTCGTGTCAAATGACTGAGCCGTGCTCTTTTCAAATAAATCAACAAAATATTAAGTGTTTTAGAAAGGAATGACTATGACGAAAAACGCGTGAAAGATATCGGAAAGATCGAGGGCCTTAATGCGTGTGTCGAAGCCTTGTTATCGGCTTGATTATCATATACCTAGCTCGAGCCGCACATCTTGACTCCCACCGGGCGATTTATTTCAATGCATTACGGCTTGGGTGCTCACTGCTCCTACATCTGCTCACAAGAAGATGTCGTTTCCAGTAAAGGCCAGAGCTTAGAGACTAGCCAGTATGCATGGAAATACCTTGTGCGTACTGCTGAGCATGCCTTGCGCTAAACTTGAAATTTCCGGAGAGTCACTTAACCCGCGCCCTGCTGGGGGGGTGTTTGAACACCCCCCCCTGTGGTTTTTCGCGAATATCTCAAAAACGGCGGCGCGGAGCGCCGCCGTTTTTGGTACACCTTATCATACATCAATTCTACACATGTTGTGAAAATTTCAGACCAAGGTCATTCAAGGTCAGGTCACCAGGTCACTCGAAGTGACCTCACCTCATAAAAAGTTTCAATGTCTGTCATAGCTACACCGAAAGACCGATCGCTTTGAAACGTTCAGCGATTGCTAAGAGCATTAGCATGTACAAAATGTATATCTCAGAATTTTGATATCGATGACCTAAGGTCAGGTCAATTTTGCGACCTCACCATTATAAGTCAATGGGAGAAAATTGAAATGCGCCTGTTTTGGACGAAAGACATTATAAACACTCCCAAACACTGAATTACAAGTGGTTTAGACACACTGAACATGAAAATGGTGTCCGTGACCCTTGTTTGTGCCCTGAGGTCATCTTAGGTCACGAATGGTATCTAACAGTTTTCGCAAATAACTTTTGATAGAGGCATGCTAGAGCGATGAAAACGCCTTAGATGTGTTCAGCTCGACGATACGGATCGACTGATATGCAACATGACCCTTTCCGGTCAGGTCATGACCTTGACCTGAGGTCAAATTTTCAAGTTGACCTTTCAAGGTCAAATTATAGTTCGTTCGATGCGTCTTGACGAGAGGAACACGATGCCGGTAAAAGTAAGCTCGTACAATGCTTGGGTCAAAAGTTATTGCAGAAAAACTGTTTCCGAAAAAATCGGATATTTTTGCAGTTTTTGCCCCCTGCAGGCAAAACCGTTGACGTTAGGTCAAATCTGAGAGAATTACTCAGAAAGGGCGTTAATAGGGCTATCGAATGCGCTTTTCCGCGGCGCTGTAGCTCTATTGGTTCCCGAGTTATGCGTTGGCTTCTTGGAAATTTTCGACATTCGACCTGGAAATCGGCGAAAATTTGCCTTCAATGACCTCTGGTGACCTGACCTTTGACCTGACCAAAAAATTGACTAAAGTGATTTCCTCGTTATTTTTGACGCTCTTTCGAACGCCGCCTTCCGCGTATCGCTACGTGGCTCAGGAGCCGAGTTAGAAGGGGGGGGGGTGTTCAAACACCCCCCCCCCAGCAGGGCGTGGAAATCCAGGACCCCCAGCCGGGCGCGGGTTAAAATGGCGAATCGTAAATCGCAGCCGCCTTTCTGAGTTATCTGCGAAAAAGCACAGTGTTGGGCCCCTTTGCCCCCCTCCCCCCAATAGGTCGCGGCTTAACTGTTTTTGACGAGTCTCTCAACCCCTTCTTTACACACTACGCACATAAGGAGCCGAGTACCCCCCCCCCCCCCCCCCGACTCCCTCGGCCCACAGAAGATGGCGTCCATCAACGGCCCCGCGCGGGATAATAGCGCTAAGCCACGCTCTGCTGGGTGGTGTTTAAACTCTCCCTCCGGTTTTTCGCAAATATCTTGAAAAACGGTGTTTGTAGCACACCTTATCATACATCTTTTCTGCACATGCTGTAAAAATGTCAGACCAAGATCACTCAAAGTCAGGTCACCAGGTTACTTCAAGTGACCTCAGTTTCAGTTCCTGCCATAGATCCCGCGCCCCAGTGGCGGCCTCAGCCAACTTGACCCTAGTGGGGGGGGGGGGGCATATGTTACCACCCACCTCTAACTCAAAACTAAGAGGGCTAGAAATACGCAGTAAGAAGCAATCGATAGCTCTCAATGCGTACGTTTGAATGTATTTCGGTCATTTTTCATCTTAGAGCAATATTGGGGTCACTGGAGGTCAGGTCAAAATTTGCCAAATGTCATTATATTTTTCCGAAAACATGCATTTATCTCAGGAACTAGGATAGCTAGAAAAACGCATGGAAAAGCAATAGATAGCTCTTAACCCGCGCCCTGATGGGGGGGCCATTTTGGCCCCCCCCTGTGGTTTTTCTTAAATAGCGAGAAAACGGCGGGCGGCCGCCAAATTTTAGGTACCTTACCGGACATCAATTTGACACCTTCACACAAAATTTCAAGTCACAGGTCACCTCAGGTCAGGAGTTATTGAGGTCAAACTGAGGTCATGTTCGAGTAAAAATGAGCAAAAAACATGACATCTTGAAACGCTCACCAATTCTACAGTTCACAAGCAATTTTAAAGTTCTTTATGTGGTTGTGTAGAGAAAAGACGGCGCTACAAAACTGCTATCTCGGATTTTTGAAATTTTTGGATTTTGACCCCCAAAAAACAAAAAAATTGATTTTTTTAGAAAAACTCAAAAAATTTCCAAAATTTTTTCGAATTTCGAAAAAACCGGAATATATGTGATAGTCCCTGCGCTCTTCGATATACATACCAAATTTTAGATCGATACCTCTTTTTTTTGGCCAAGTTATAGCGAAAAAACTGTTAAAAATTGATGACGTCAAATTTTTGAACTCAATTTTTAGCAATTCTAGACCTCGTAGCGCAAAACGGAGACCACCATTGAACTCCCCGTGACGAGCTGCATCGAATCGATACCCATTTTATGCAAAAATATCAACTTTGAAATTTGACCTAATTTGACCTGACCTTGACCTGACCTTGACCTGACCTTGACCAAAACGTGACCTAAGCTGGCCCTAAAGTCTGTCTGACCCACATAATCGCATTTGTCATGTAAAATGGACCATAAAACATGTATCACACGACACTTTCATATTGTGACCCCCCAGTGACCTGACCTCTGTGACCTGACCTGGTATCAGTGACCTCAAATAGCAAAATATGTGTTTGAAGAACATTTCCCCATCGATGATTTTCAATGAAATGCATTTTACACGATTTTACAACGCATTTCTTGAAATGCCTGTAAACGGTGAAAATTCGACCTTTGACCTGACCTGTGACGTCATCGGTTTGACCGAGGTCAATGAAATTGGGTCACAAGGTAGTTCCCTGTTGGGGCTATCCAACACCGTTTACCGCTTGTCGCTATGTTGCGTGGTTCTCGAGATCTTAGGGGGGGGCCAAAATGCCCCCCCCCCCCCCATCAGACCGCGTTGCTCGGCAGACCCCATCTGGGCGCGGGTTAACCCGCGCACCGACGGGGGTCTGCGCCAACTTAGTACCGACGGGGGGGGGGCGGATGACCGCCCCCCCCCCCCCCCTGAGATCTCGAGAACGAAGCAAGATAGCGACAAGCGGTAAACGGCATCGGATACGCACGGACAAGGTCTACAATTTTTACTAAGATCATTTTCAGGTCAGGTCAAAGATGACGTCACAGGGGTCGAAAAAGTCAAAATGGCGGCGCTAGATATGGAGAGGGTTTTTCTCGAATAACTTTCGAAGTAGTCAAGATAGGAGCAAACTAAGGGCATCATCGTGATCCTCTCGTCAATCCGCATCGAATGATATATATGTTGACCTCGAAAGGTCAAGGTCAAAGGTTGACCTCAGGTCACGTGACCTCGAGGTCATCATGTATATCATTCGATGCGTCTTGACGAGCTGAACACAATGAGACCATCCGCGCGGCTGTATCTTGTTCCTGTAAGGAGTTATTGGCAAAAAACCTTTGGTGACCTTTGATGACGTCACATGACCTTACAGCTGCCCAACAGCAAAACAGACCTCAAGGTAGTGAAGGTTGATCGTATGTGAAGTCATGTATGGTATATGGGGCCATTCCGACCCGTTTTAGTGGTAAAAACAGGGAGTTGATTTTTCCCCCATTGACTTATAATGGGGAGGTCGCGAAATTGACCTGACCTTAGGTCACCGACATCAAAATTCCGAGATATACAAATTGTAGCTACTAATGACCTAATAACATCCTGCGACTTTCAAAGGCCTCCGACATCTACTGTAGCTCTGGCACGGTGACAAAGTTGCAAAAAAGTGACTTGAGGTTGGGTCATTCAAAGTGACCTGGTGACCTGACCTTAAAAGTTAGGAGGTTCAAACTTGCACACCATGTGTAAAATTGATGAGAGAATAGTCATACCAAATTTCGCGGCGCTACGCGCCGCGGTTTTCCCGCTATCCGCGAAAAACCTCAGGGGGGGGCGGATATCCGCCCCCCCCGTCGGTGCGCGGGTTAAACTCTTCTTTCGATAAGGTCATCATCAAAATTGACCTCAGGTCAACGGTTTAGCCTCCAGAGAGCAAAACTAAAAATAAAAACTGTTTTTACGAAAAGTGTTTTTCGACAATAACTTTTGACTAAAAAAGCCACGACATTTCTATTGCCAGAATCGTGCTCTTCTCGCCGAGACGCGTCGAATGAACTATAATTTGACCTTGAAAGGTCAACTTCAAAATTTGACCTCAGGTCAAGGTCATGAGCTGACCGGAAAAGGTCATGTTGCATATCAGTCGATGCGTCTCGGCAAGACAAACACAATGAGGCCAACCCCAGCGTTCTATCTCTTTCCAATCGAGAGTGATTGGCAAAAAGCTGTTTGTAGCCTCAAATGACCCCGGATGAACTTTGTAGAGGCTATCAGCAAAAAAAGACAACTTGGTCGTCACGGTTGGTCCAAATCATTGTGATTCTGAAATATTTGGACTGTTCCTATGCGTACACACGGATCTAGAGGCATTTTCGTTTTTCTCCATTTACTGGAAAGGTCACGCCACTGACCTGACCTTAGGTCACGTATATAAAAAAT